TTTCAATGGAATCAAGAATGTCAGCCACTTCCCCAAGAAGGCCATACTTGCAGACATAGAAGTCATCAGTCTGTACCCTAACATCCAACATCATGAAGGCACAGCTGCCAGCCTGAAATATCTACAAGAACACTGGAGTACACTCAGGTTTGCAACACCATATTGCACATATCATTCTCTTCATCCCCGCCCACAACAATTTCACTTTCAACAACTGTCACTTCCTCCAAACCACGGGCAGCTGGAAATCTTCCACAGACGAGCCTATGAACTTCACTTTATCAATCTACTGGATACAGAAAATCATGGACTAAATATAGACATTGGATTTATAACACATTATAACCTGCCTAACATCTGACTTCCACTTTTTACCAGCTATTCTTATTCCTTTCCCCACCACCCTCCTGTGTCTCATCCTTTGACTACAGCCACTTTCATTCCTCCTCCGCCTACCACCTGTCTCTCACCTATTGACCACCTCAATTTGCATTTTAAGTGACTGACTTTCTTCCATGCTACTGGCCTCTGGCTGCTTTACCACCCCATTTCAGAAAAGCACAGACCATCTGCAGATGCTTCCTCAGCTGGACAAAGGGTGTTTGTGCCCGAAAGCTTGCTAAGAATAATTTTTCTAACTATTTGAGTTGGCTAATAAAAGATATTGGATTTACCCAAATAACCTCATCTGTTTTTATACAACAAAGACACTCCAGTAGGAAAATAAACCATATATCATCCAAATACCCTGCTGCAATACAAAAAGAAATCCCACTGTGATCACACAACCTTGGTGGTCACCTACTGCCCCACACTGGAACTGATCAGAAGAATTATTAAACAACTACAGCCTATACCTGACAAAGATCAGAGCTTGAGAGAAGTATTCCCAGCCTCTCTGCTCCTGGCTTTCAAGCAACCCCTTAACCTTGCCCAACTCCTCATCAGAAGCAAATTATCCAACAGACGTCAAGTGGAACGCAGCCTTGCCTCAGCAAGAAATGTGTTATCTCTTAACACATCTCCACTGCTGGAGGTCAGCAATCAACACACCTCAAAACCATCCCACAGAATCCATAAAGCCTATACATGCCTCTCTCAAAATGTGCTATATCTGATCCAGTGCAGCGAATGCCATTGTCACAACTATGTGGGTGAAAATAAACAATGACTACATACCAGAATGAACTCACAGAAAAAAAAATATAAAGGGCAGAGAGACACCATTAGGACAGAGACACCACCTCATGTTCAATGAAAATCTAACAAATGCCTTTAAAAGGCAAACTTTGGAACAAAAATTCATAAGCCGGCTTGATACTAAGAACCAAGGACTTAATACTGATATTGTCTTTATAGCATATTATACCCTACCTGATTCCTGAATTCCCATGTATGAAAGATGAGAATAACTCATCTCCCTTTTGATAGACCTAGAAATCAACTTTTCTTCTGTTAACTATTTGTCTACTACCCCTGGAAATTTCCCCCCTTTTCAACTGGTTTTTATTATGCTGTGCTGGCTTTTATTCCTCAGGCCTGAAGAAGCATGTCTTGCTTTCAGAAACTTATCTAACTCCATCCCAACTATGCAAGTAATCCTATACAAGATGTTATCTTAAGAAATCCTTGCCTCTCACATAGTTCCTGGATCATCATGGCCACACCATCACTCTAATGCTGCCTAAACACTGGGGCACCCAAATGCTTGTTTCTTTAGTCACAGTTCCTTTTTCCGAGCTTCTCTTGGTCTGGTAGATCTGTGTGTTGCTCCATCACTTGAAGTTAAGTCTCAATGTATCTCATAAAGTGTGTGTGTGGGGTGGGGAGGAAATCAAGAAAGAGCTGAAGAAAAAGCAGTACTAGTTTGAACCATTAAGATTTATTTTTGCAACAGAAAAATGTACAGCACATAATGTTGGAGGAGGGGGGAACCACCTCCATAGGAAGCTGGAAAGATTTCTCATTACCAGCCCTGAGGCAATTCAGACATTTTATTTTCTTTTAACTGCCATAAACCGACAAATATATAAGATGGATCACAATGTAACATACACCTGGTGGAGAAAATGAAGCAAAAAACCCCAAAACGATCCTTATCAAAAAGAAAAGGCAGGGAGCAGGAGGGGGAAGAATTACATACACATTTCTATGTATATAAAATCATGGAATTAAAACAACATTGTCATTCCTTACCAAAAGGAAATAAAAAGGAAAAAACCCAGAACAAGCAAACTCTAGCAACATGCCCAGCATTTCAATTTCTCCGTTTCAATATTCTTATTTAGGTTAAGATGTATAACTTAGCTGCAGAGAAGTGGCACTATTCTTGATGCTTAATTAGTAGAAAACTTTTGAAATATGTGACCTTGTTAATATTTTAGGGAAATTACCAAATCTAAAGGAAAGCTAAATTTCTTAATCTTGTATACAAGTTGTAATTGTGGCCACTGCACTGAGAAAGTTACTTTTACTATGTTAACATTTTTTTTTCTTTAAAAATAATTTTATACAGGGAGCATAGGTGGAAGCTATTAAATCTCATTTTAAGAGGCAGAATTAGTCTTGTAGAGAAGATAATACCACATCAGATAGATTATTTATTCCAGATGTTACTGGTGCAGGGTGATAAAGTCTAGGAGGAAGATTGCTAAATTATATGTTACTTTATTAAGGGGAGTTGAAAATTCTCCAAGCTTTATTTTTATCAATTGAATTTTGCTAGGGAAATGTTTAAGGGTTGCATAGTTCAAACCAAGATGTATGGCTCAAAACTGTCACCAAATTAGCAGAACCAATTTAGTCTGTTTTTAAAGGCTTTAAAATGGTGCAATCCCCATAATTTAGCCAGCCTGAAAGACACGGGTTAAACTCAATGGAGTTTCAAAAATTACCTCAAAATCAAATTCATCCTCATGTATTGGGAATAATTTTGGATATCTGGGGTGAAAAGGTACCTGTGAAGCTAAGATAAGGATTGTTTCTAAGTAGAGCTCTGTTTAGAGACTGAAAGGACTAAATCCTATTTCATTTTACCTGCCTCCCCCTCCTCCTCCTCTTCCCTGGGTGTACGTGGTAAAAGCTGCACTCACTAAATGGCATGGATGAACCTGTGTAAGTAAAGGGATTCAATCTTAATGTTCTAACCTGTCTGGAGCTAAAAGAAAGACATGCAGTAAAATTTTCAAAAAGTAGCTAAGTGACTTAGGAGCCTGAATCACACTTTCCAGACAGTCAATGGGACTTGAGCTCCTAAGTGTGCTTAAGTCACACTTAGGAATGTAAGGGTGCCTGTAAATGTGCGGGGATGCTATTCCGACACATTGTAATTACAGCAGATCAGAGCATGCTAATTAGCACACCAGCAGCCTCCACATCTTGTGTGTTCAATGTTCCCACACTTCAAAATGTCAGTGGGGACACTTTTACTAAAGCTCATGCGATGAGCTTTAGTTAAAGCACCCCTGTCACCATTTTGAAGCACAGGACACTGAATACACAAGAAGCTGCAGATGCTTTAATTAGAGTGGCCCTTGGAACTACTGTAATTAAAGTGCCTGTCCCCCAACCCCCGGAGCATGTGTAAAGATGCCCTAAGTGGTTTAGGAAATAGAACATTGGTACTGTTGAAAATTATACCCAGGATGTTGTCCTGGAAAAGGGCATGCTTTGTTGAATTGGGGTTTTTGACTAGACTTTTTTTAATTCAAAACAGAAATAGCTCAACATTGAGGTTAATATGGAAACTTTAATGAGCAGTATAACATGCTAAGTACATGTTTTTAGTATGGCAAAATGTTCAAGTCTGAATGTCTGAAGCAAAATATCTAAATCTACATTTGGGCAAGGGACATACATTCACAAAGCCCGAGCCTGAATTGTTTCAATCTTTGCAGGTTAGTCCAACCTGGCTAGGCTGAACCAGTTTGCAACCTCACAGACATTCCCTCTGGACTGAAGAAATGAAGACACATGCCTTCATTGGGCAGGGGCTTAGGCTAAAAGCCAGGAGGTGTTAGAGCAGCCCTCCCTTCCCTTTCAGTGCTGAGTTCAGGGGGGTGTGGCCAGGCCCTGGCAGGACAGGAAGGGAGGCAGTTAGAGCAGCCTTCCCTTCCATTCTAGTGCTGAGCTCAGAGAGGGGGTGTGCAGCCAGGCCCCTCCCCCTCCCTCCCCATGCAGTGGATTTTGGAGAACACTTACATTTTATGATGGCAGCATTCTCAATAAATAGCTGTTGTCAGCTGAAGAAATAACCCCTAATCTCTCCCAGTTTAAAATCATCACTTCCTCCAATCAACCATTGATCACCACTGTATCCTGGGCGGGTCCTGTCCACTGCATTGTAAGAATCACCAAACAGCTTCTCCAAATTTGGGAAGTTCTGGAAAGTGAAATCACATTTCCCATCTGGCTGGGTATCATAGCATCTAAACCTTCCATATGAAGGTCCTCTTCAATTCCAACAGTGTTTGCATGGACAAATCCATCTGAGATCAATGTGAGCTATCTGAGTTTGCTAAAAGGAAAGGACAAAGGATCATAAGTGATGACCTTTCTGCACTTCTCTGGAAATCTGTTCACATGTTAATTTTTAATTCCACTGCAATATTTGCAAACAAAATGCTTATCATCTTGTTGCTATAAAACAAAAATGATTCTGTATTATGCACTGCAATCCCATTGATCAAGCCCATTGGAAAAATACCACGAAAGAAAATTTGAAAATGTCTGAACAGGAGTGGTCAAACAAGCTGACTGTTGCTGTTAACTAGTTAAGGATTCTGTGCAGGAAAGGACGCTCCAGCCAGTGGTTTGGAAATTGATCATATCTGGCTGGGCCATGACAAACTCTTCCTAGAAGAGAAAGTCTTTAAAGGGCAACCAGTGTGAAATACAGAAATTAAGTACTGGCATAGGCATTATCCTTCCTTTTATTTAGGAATGTATTTACATACATTGGTCCAATGCTCTTGAGTTATGTAATCTAATTTCATTTACAGGAATTCCCAGATTCATTGAAGGAACAGACACATCTGAAAGAATGGCATATAAATAACACAAAGATACAAACCATTCCAGCTTACATTGCCTTGTTTCAGGAGCTGAAAGTCTTGGAGTTATCAAAAAACCAGATCACGCATCTCCCAGTTGAAATTGGTACGTTGATTTGTATGTAGCTATTTAAGCTTCTTGGTGGTAAAATGTGCAAATGCATGGTGTTGTGTTGGCATACATGTACTACTTATTGATACTGGTCTCTACCTACAATATCTTGTACTTTTTCCAGTAAACTGTTCTTTCTGGCGGTTTATCTTTTTAAAGTTATTTGCGGAATCGCATGGGATACTTTGCCGCTAAACATGGCCCAAATACGGGAAAAATTGATGCTTATCTATTAAGAGGTTAGGGTAGCCAAATTGCCTTCTGTTGTGTCATGGTTTGTTTTTAAATGATTGGGGAGTCTGGCTCAAAAATGGATAGTATTTTAGGTCTCTTGGTAGGTTAGCAACAGTATGAGCAACATCTCACAAAGCAGCCTGAAACCAGTGAATTCATGCCCCTCTGGCTCCAAAAAGTGTTAAAAAACATTAGTTACCAGAAAATATGTAATACATAATTTTGTATTAAACTCCTTTTTAATCCACTCATGTTACTTAACTAGGAAATAGATCTGCAAATGGAGGGTGTTTTCAACATGGGCAAAAAAAACTAAAAGGGGATTTTAATTCCTTAACCCTTACATACTTTGGCTTTTATTATTGTACATTTTTAAAAATTCTAAAATTGCCTGGTTCTTTTGTTGTTTATAGTAATCTCTCTAAGTTTTTTAAGTTGTAACCTGTCTGAGAGATTCACTGCACTTTAAACAAGAATCACTGCTGAAATTGGTAGTATCTTTGAAAAAGAAAAATCTCTGCTACTCCAGCTTTCACTAACACCTTCTCCCACTCTAGTGGCTAGACCATGTACAAATGTTTAGTAGCTTGCTCTTCATACCGTATCCTTTGGTAACAGAGACTCATGGTTTCAGATTCATCAACGCCTTCTTAGGTTCACTCCTTGCATATGATTCATAATGCATATAAGTAGTCAGTATATTAATTCAGGGTAGGAAAAAAAGCCTCTGTCTTGGCAGCTATCTATCCCAGACCCTTGGTTCTTTTAATATTCTTATCTAGAGTCATGGTACTTTGAAATTACTATATTAGCCTTTTGTTTGATAGAATAAAACTGCTGCTTTTTATTTATTTATTTTCTTATGTTACATTTTATACAGATAATTGCTTGCTGACTTGAAAAAATATATCTTATGGAGTGCCCGGCAGTTAAATACTCAAACAAATCATATACAAAACAGAAGCAGGAGTTAACAGATGTAAAATAAACACTAACTATTTAATCAGTACTTTGACCTTAGTACTGACATGGATCATTAGTCTTATTTGGCTGAAGGATTCCACCAGAAGGCAGTGGAGAATGGGAAAGAAAATATTCTGAAATTAAATTCTGTCTGAGGGAATGTGAAAGGAATGGAAAATGTTAGTCCCCTCAATTAACTAAGGACGTGCTTTCCTAGACTACTGAATGCCATGCTAAAAATTGAATACTACTTGACCCTTTGATGCAGTTAAAGACTGTTTTTTTGTTCATTTTCTTGTACTACTGGACTTTAACTAAGACACTAGTCCTTAGAAGTAAAGCTAGTTATGAAAAGAAATAACATTTGTTTCTAGCAAGAGACATGAAACTAATAATCCTAGCATGATCTGTTCTCTTTGGAGCGATTATTTGAAGGCCAATCTTGGGAAAAGAGGATAGGTTTCAAATACGTCTCCAACCAGTTTTTAAAAGAAAAATCCATACATGCATTGAACTCAATTCTGCCTTCAATAATTTTTATACAGCTCCCGCTGAAAGCAATGGGAGATAATCACATGCATCTGAGGTTATTATTTTAATAAATTGCTTTTCAAAATCAAGGTGGTATAAATTAGTGGTCTCACCCTTTTTTCTTTTTTTTTTTTAACCAGGACCCAGTTGTAAACATCAGCTGGTCCCGACCCAGTACCCCTCACTCCCAACCTGCTGTCCCTCCCTGCCCCCAAGCACCCCAGTGCGTGGGTCAGGGGATGGGTGTATGGGACAGGGTGTGTGGGTGTGGGGCATGGGGAGCCCCAAGCAACCCCTTGCAGGCTGGAACTCTGTCAGCCTGCAAGGGAAAAAGCCACAGTTTCCCATATTTTTCACCTTAAAGGAGAAGCAATTTTTAAAGTTGGTTCACAACCTTTTCATATATTCTTGTGACCCACTTTTGGGTTGCAACCCACAGGTTGAGAAACGCTGATCTAAATAAAAGAAAAACATAGAGAGAAGAGTGCAAACACTGTTGGCCAAATCCTATTCCCACCTATTAGGTCCCCAAGTGTTACTTAGACATCTGTAAATGATCCAGAAAAGAGGTAAGGGACATGCAACTCCCAACTGTGGCTGTGCCACACGTGCACATGACAATCTGAGCTTGCTGCCTGGTCAGCACAAGGTCCTGCCAGAGCTCTGCATAAGTAGTGAGCTCTGAGTTCACCTGCTAATTGGGGCTTAGTCTGGCCAGAGCCCTTCCTTTTGCATGATTCCAGAACCATGAAGGTGAATGCTGTTGGTATTTGCCCTTTCTGTCCCTTGCTATCCCCAACAGCAAGGGAATTCAGCAGCAAGGGAAAGGTGTGACGGTAGCAGTGCTCACGCCCTGGGCTCTGAAGTAAAACTGGCCTGTACAAAAGTAAGGGTTCTGGCCATACCCTGTACTGAGAGTTCACACATTACATAGCCAAAGAGGGGTGTGATCACTCTCCCACACCTCCTCTGGATCTTCCCCTCGGTGGTCCACCTTGGTTGAGTCTCTGAATAACAGCTGACACAAGAGGTGGACAAATGCTCCTCCTCACTTTTTGAATACCATAGGCCATGTGTTGACGAAATGAGGGGCATGTGTGCACGACCCTTTAAAATGGGTTAAATGCTTTTGTATCACTTTAGTGGTGTTGGTGTTTGTACGTGTTGGTGGTGTAATGCTCAGTAATTCCAGCCACTGTAGCAAATTCGGCGGTGTAATGTGCCTTAAATGACTTGGGGTGCGCAGCGAAGCAACAGGCTCCGTGCATCTCAGGGGCTCTGCAGGAAGCCCATGCAGGCAGCCTTGCAGCAGCCCAAAGCCTGTCTGCCTGAGCTGCATGGGGGCCCGGTGCTTCCCTCCACAGCTGCGGTGCCCCCCCAGGATCGCCCGACCAGTGTGCCTGTGCATGGGTGCTGCTGGGAGGAGGATGGCGCTGCAGCCGTGGAGGGAAGCATCAGCCCACCCCCCCAGCCCAGGGACTACTCTGCCCACCAGCAGCTTGCCCTGCCCTCCCTGCCATTGGAGATGCAGTTAAGTTCAGGTCTGTGCACCTGAAAGGGTCCTAAATTGAAGCGGTGTTTTTGAAAGCCCGTCACTTCAATTTAGGGTCCCTGTTTCACCTACACACGCCCTTAGTCTTAAGGCTGTGATGAAGGTGTATTAGAAAAGCAGACATATTTTTCAGGGTCTGAGGCAGGGCAGAATAGGAATGCGTTTAGTCATCTCATAGGTGGAACCTATCCCTTTGGTCCTCTGTGTTAAATTATTTCTAAACAGGATTGAAATTAACTGTCAAAAGTTTGTTTATATGTATGAAATATAGCCTTGATTCAGCTAAGTACTTTGCCTACCTTGGCTTAACACTTGAATAGTCCCATTGATCTTAGTGGGAGTTGTCTGAAATTATGCATAGGTTTAAGTGCTTTAATGAATCAAGGGCTAAGTGCCTGAATAGCAGCTGCAGTTTCTCAACTCCTGTGGTGAAGTTCAGCCCCCACATACAGGTACTCAGGTTTGTGCACCACATGTGTACAGCTAAGTTCTATTTAGTGTTTTAAGTGGTGCCTGGCTCTGTGTTCTCATTGTACAACAATAAATTTACAGGGTCTAGGGTCACTACAGCAAAGCAGGACTATCTGAACCATGTAAGGCCCACAGAGAGGATATATAGGGGATACACATGTCCCACACAATCCTTATGTGCAGTGAAAAAATCTGTATGCCAGTTCTGCCTTGCGGGATGTGAGGCTCTGAGAATGGAGGGGTGCTTAATCATCTGCATCCTGGGAATAATCTGAGAAGGTTATACCCTTGTGAAGCTAAAGTATTAGGAGAACTAGTCATAGAAATGCTGTGACTTCTCTAGTGCCCCTTCAGCCTCATCCTTCCTGGGATGTATGCACCTTTGTCCAACTTCCATGCAGGTTGCTGCATCTTTCTTTTCAACAAATTTTGTTCTTGTGTCTTTGTTTAAGTGGTTTCTGACTTGATAAGGGATATTAGTACACGGCACACCAGGAGGACCTGGTGCTAGATTCTATGAAGGACTTAGTTTTTTATTGGACTAAGTTGGGTGCTAAGTTAGTTCCTGGAACATTCTGCTCAGTTGCCACCTAGCTCTGGAGGTGACCAAGCTCCATATATGCAGCAATTTGTGATCTTAAATTCCCTAGGACCTTGATAGTTGTTCTACCCATGTACAGATGTCTCAATTTTGCCAAGGCTGAGAAACTTGCACCAAAATCTGCCTGGGATCTAGAAACTAGGTGTTATTTCACCCATGTTCCCTGACTCAACCCAGTAAGTCTTCTCAGAACTTATTCTACAACAAACACATTGGTTTAGGCTTCATATAAAAGCCTTTATCTTCCATTTTCTAGGACAGTGTTAGAACTACTTTGTTCATGGTTCTTCTGGGGTGAGGAACACTGTAGAGGAACCCAGGCTAAAGGGCTGCACCAGAGCAGGGCCTGGGTGCTGTACTCTATGGGTGCTTTTGCTCCCTTTGTTTTTAGATTCCACTTGCCACGAGTTGAAGTTAAATGAAAAGGATATCAGGAAGTGGCACTTGACCAGGGTTGCCAACCCTCCTGGATTGGCCAGGAGTCTACCAGAATTGGCATTGATCTCCCAGTGACTATTGAAAGCAATCTGGGAGATTGATATTGTGAATGGGTTGAACAGTACAATTAATGACTAGAGGTGTGCCGACACATCAGTGCCATATCAGATTGACACCGATATAAGAATAATTGACAGCACTGGC